GAAGTGGCATTAAAAAAGACACATAGGTAGATGCAAAATAACGTTGATTCCATATCTATTCATATCTGCGAATCAATTTGGAAGAAGTTATGAAGTTCTTTCTCTTCCAAGAGATTTGCAAAACTTGTAGAAATTTGAAAGCCTCACTTTAATCCGAAACAACAGCGCAGAAGCTAACTGTTGTGATGACGTCTTTGTCCAACGACAACTCTTGGATTGTTATGGCAGGTCAAACTTGGTTTGCAAGACAACTATTATTAAGCTGTGAAGGCTGTTTTTTTCAGAAAAAAATCTTCTCAAATTTAACGTCCCAAACCCAACTAACATTGTGTATCTCTAAAATCGCCACTTCGGATAGGCATCCTTCCCTATTGAACCCTTACATTTTGGAACACGAGCTAAATGGTATTTCAAAACGTATGCGTAGTATATTTGCAGTTATTGTATAACTTATGGACACATTTTTATAGTCTAGTTAGTATATTCGGAAGGGACTGAGACCATTTCAAGAAATAAAGAATGGCTGATTGCAGTGCGTTGGTTTGATAATAATACGTACAATCAAGAGTTCAGAGCACTTTTGTATTGATTCGAGTAGAAGTACTCTAACACAGCAGTTGTGGATAACGACGAATTTCGTGTAGATAAATTTAATTTAAATCCATCACCAGAATAAGCAATTGCCGTTCTGTCCGATCCCGACGACAGAAGAGACGAACGAAGAGACTGCATTGGAGACGTCATTATCTCCTGAATGCGCCTGGCCTTCCTTTGTAGCTCTTTCATTGACATTATTTCGTATGAGTCAATGCTGGAAAGCAGATGTTAAAGTCTTTTCGAATGGGTCACTTGTGAAATAGAATGCATAATTTCTGCAAATCACCCCGATAGTTTTGTTTGACTTCGCCTCTCCTGCTTTTCGATTTCTGTTGATTGCGTGCACACCTGTTTGTAAAACATATTTTGACGATGACGTTTCTTTTTGAATAAAAGAGCCTAACCTCTGCAGTTGCAACAGCATTTCGCAGAGCGTATGACTCGTCAGTCTGAATACTGACTAAATTAAATTATCAACAGTAAAGGACTTGAGTCTACTTACTTGAACGTGAGTGCTTCTCATGAACCGTATTTCGCTCTTCTGCCGATCATACTGTGACACACATTGTTCAAAATCTCCAACTCTGTTTATAAGTTTATTGGTTGCATTTTTCTGCTTTGCTTCGACTTCGACCAAATGTGCTGTGGGCACATCTTTGCCATGCAATAATTGTGAAACAGTTCCAGTGTACGTCACTTGTGACAAGGTCGGGCTTTGCGATGCCGACTTCACCTGGGCATATATTGCTTCTGCCTCTGGTTGCCCGTACAACGCTTCCGATACATTCTTTTCCAGCTTCATCATTAAGTCACTCTGGCCGAGCACCACCTCTGACTCTGCATCATACTCTGTGTCAGAAGCAGCTTCTTCAACCACAAAGATACTGGTGACCTCCGGCTGTACACCAGTCGACCGTACTCTGCAATTATTTATGTATTGTATAGAACACAGTAGGCTATGTAAAGCATGCCGTACTCCGGTCTTGCGGTTCCACAAAGAATGCATCGCCCGTCAGAATCAAACATCTGAATAGTGATTAAAATTGTATTAATAACCATGCAAGTAACTGTTAAGTTCACTTCTTTTTCGGTTGTAGTTGAAACGGTAATAGTCTCAACTCCGCTGTTCCCACAGGCTTTTTGTTCCACTATCTAAAACATGTAAAAATTGAAAGAATGCTTACTTATACTAGGAAGTCTTTAGAGATTGGGTTATCAAAATCTCGGAATCAGCCCGACAGCGCAAACCTACTGGTTGCAACAATTTCTGGGCCTCATTTAATGATGAGCTTCTTCCATAGTCCATACCCGATCTGGTCTTAAATGGATAACACTTTAAAATGATTTTTTTT